CACCTTTTGTGGGCCATCAGCTTACAGGCAGCAGATCGTGGGGTTTTCCTTGATTTTGTGAGTCAACGCTTTACAATAAATATCTATTTACAATATTATTTGCAATATTAAATAATATCTATTATTTACAATAAATATCTCTTTTTCATCATTATTTCTATCTCTAAGTTCAGTTTCAATGGAGAACTCCAAGACAGGAGTGAAATTCTCACTAATAAATATTAAATAGAAAGAAGGACACAGAGGGGAGAGGACAAATGTGCTCAGCTTATGGTGTCTGTGTTCTACAGAGTCCTGGGATTCTGTGAGAGTCTCAAGAAGTGGACAGGGTCTGGGGTGATCCCTGTGTAGAAAACTACTACTTTTTATTGAAGAATATAACATGAGAAATAAAGAAAGGGCTGGGAGAAATTTTGGGTAAAAAGAATTAACATAAAAATATGAATTCTCTAAATGTTGATATGAAAATGAAATTCATTTTCAAAGAAAATTCCCAATGAGCTGTTTTTTCAATCTAATGAAGTCTTTAAAAATTTTTATGTGGGAATAAATGCCTGAAATAAGGTAAGACATTTTTGAACAGAGGGCTAGTGGACCATTTGCCTTACCCAATGAGAACATGCTGTAATTTACTGTATTTGAATCAATATGGCATTGGCATCAGAACAGACCAGTGGAAAAGAATCCAGAATTTGAAAATAGATCCTTGTATGGATGAGAATTTAACATGCAGCTAAAGTGCTATTTTAACTCATTGGAAAATGATGGTTTTGTAATACAAGGTGTTAACCCAATTGGCTGTCCATCAGGAAGTAAATAAAATTGTATCACTGCCTTCTATTGTATAGGCAAATTTCAAATGGATTAAAAAATAAATGTAACAACACAAACACAAGCACCTATGAGAAATTCTAGAAGACCACATATACAAACCCGGGTTGGGGTTGGAGGATATATATATATATATATATATAAAATATATTAAATGAAGAGACAAAGCAATAGATTTGGAAAAATATTGATGTGCAGAACATAGAAAGAAGATTAAAATCTATAATATATAAATGGTTCTTACAAATTGAAGAGATAATTTAATTCAAAAAATGTGTAAGATATAAAATAGGCAAAATTTAAAAGAGCTAAACCCAAAGAGATCAAACTCTTTCTAGGCAGGCAGATGCAAATTAAACTATGCTTCTCAGACTGGGCAAAATGAAGAAGAACAGGACGTTTTCTGTTGAGCTAGGGACAGGCAAGGATACTTTTAGTGGCAACAAAGAAAAACATAAATTATTGCATTGTTTTCAAAGTAATCTGGTAATGTCCAGTGGAAGAAACAAATTCGTGGTACTCTTTGATCTCACAGTTCTACTCTGGAGAAACTAACCAGCAGGAATAACAGCACCTGTGAAGAGTGCGTATAGAATGTTGGTTGTAACATTATTCACAGTGGCAGAGAATTTGAAACAAAAAGCGAACATCCATTATAGCACATTTATACCATGAAATATTTTGTAGACATTAAAAAGACTTATTAAAATCTTACCCGGGAATTCAGAGGGATGCCCATGAGGTGCTGATAAGTGAGAAAAGCATAATGCTGATACAGTACAATGTCCCAGCTTTGAAATATAATATCCTTCACTCTAAATGTATGTATATTTTGTAAATGCTTGTAATTTTTTTTTATCAGAGAAACACTGTTGCCTGTTACGTGGGTGGTGGTGATGATGGTGATAGAAGAAGAAATAGGAGAAAGAGAATGCATTCATTTTCTTCTATAGCAAATTGACACACACTTAGAAGCTTCACGCAACACACACTTATTTTCTCACACTTGTTCATGGGCCTGAAGTCCAAGCACATGTTGGCTGAATCCTCTGCTCAGGATCTCAAAAAGCTGCAAAGTAGGTGCTGGCTGCCGGATTTCCTTTTGGAGCTCAGGACTTCCTCTTCTGGGCTCACATAGTTGCTGGCAGCATTCCCTTCCTTTTACTAGGGGGGTGTGTGTGTGTGTGTGTGTGTGTGTGTGTGTGTATCTATCTATCCTATTCACTTAGAAGAAAGTTGTAGGTTTACTCAAACAAAGGGCTGATTATGGTGAGATCATGGATCACTTGGGGTCTAAAGTAGGGTGTGTGTGTGGTGTGTGTGTGTGTGTGTGTGTGTGTGTGTGTGACAGACAGCCAAGTAAACAATGAAAAGAAATATTCCAAAATGACCGAAGCCAGATTAAAAACAGAAATTATCAACATGATTCTATCACATATAAAAATCACATATGTGTTATATAAGCTCAAAAAGCAAGGCCACTAGAAAAAAAGAAAATTACTGCCATGTCTCAGGCCATGCATCTTAGGCATTTCCTCAGGTTGTTCTGAGACTATTAATATCATACACTACGATAGTACTGCATACTTCCATGGGTTCCTCAGGACAAGTGTCCCTCCAATTCAGTTTCTTTTCTTCTTCAAACTTTGCCCTCAACTTTCATTCATTCTAAAGCAGCGTCAATTGTCAAAGGACCGTTATTTCATGTACAGACTATAGGGAAAGAAGAAAGAACTCTAGTTAAATTATGGGATATATAAAAGTTTAAAGATGTTAAAATGAAGAATATATTGATCTTCGATTTGATGAAAATTACTTGGGAGCCTTATTTCCCAAGAAAGCTTTCTCTAGGTTGCCTGCTGGATGCCCTTAGAGCCCAATCAGCCATCTCCTTCCTCTGAAATATTGCTTTCCTCAGTCCTTCCACTTCCTAAAACGTACATTAGAAGTAACAGTAATCAGATTTAGGCCAAACAAAGGTAAGGAAGATACTTTCTAAGAGCAAGGTATTCTGAAGTCAGTCAGTGCTTCTAGGGCACTAGAATTCTACTTCCAGGTTAACAAAAGCAAACTTCAAATATAATAAACGTTTGTTTTTAAAGATGTTTTGATCAGTATGTTTGTGATGTATAATAAATACGCTCACTGTGGGGAATTGGTTCATGTACAAATCACATCTTGATCCTTTTTACTTCCCATTCCTCTCTTTCTCCCCTCTCCCTCATGTCCAGATCTCCTTCCCATCTGCACAAAATCTATTTCTCTGCGTCCTGTCATCTATTTTTCATTTTGCTTTTAAAATTATTTATACTTTAAACTTCTTATATAAGAGAAACCATGCAATATTAACCCTCTGGGTCTGATTTATCTCACTTAGCATTAAGAACATAAGGTCCATCCATTTTCCTACAAATGACCTAAAATTACCCTTCTTTATAGCTGAGTAGTACTCCAGTGTGTATATACATTCTAATTCATTACAGTTAAAGATACATTGCCATTAATCCTCACTAAACAACTCTCCCTTGCTTTGAATACACTTATCCCACTCTTATTATCACTTTCTGAAGCAGTTCTGGAAATACTCTTTTCTGAGTCTCTTTAGTCACATTATTGTGGCTGACTCTTTGTCCTGAATTGATTGGAAACATTTATCTGAATGTGACATTTGTGTGAATTTTGACTCTTAGAAGAGCCAGAAATCACATAGTGCCAGATCTGGTGAATAAGATGCATGAGGACACACTGTAATGTTTTACACGACTGCCTTTTGTTGGATGGCTCTCATCTGCAGCATTTGCTGTATCTTTCGTCATATCTGGTAAAGGCATTCATGAAAGAGGACCCCAGAGGTGCTTCAGAAAGTGGCAGGAAAGATTGATAAGTGTGTCTGGATAAAGGGGGAGGATTTTGAGAGGGATCCATGGCAATGTGTCTTTTACTGTAATACATTAAAAAAAGTAAAATTCACCATATATGCTTTTTTTTTTTTTTTGGTACCAGGGATTGAACTCGGGACCTTGCGCTTTTGAGGCAGGCAGCAGAACCACTGAGCTAAATCCCTGGCCCTACCATATATGTATTTTGATTTCCCATTTTTCTCTGTCTTTCTCTGCTTCTGTCTCTGTTTCTCTCTCTCTCTCTTTCTCAAGAAATGCTGTAAAGGCAAAATAATATAACAAAATTTTTGAATTAATTTTTAACTTTCTGTTGCAGATGTCTGGAAAAATTTTTAGCCAAGTACAGCAGATACATATAATTGTAATATCATCCGTGGACAATGTTTTTCCTTAGATAAACTGAGTGTTAATCAAACTTGAAAGGCAATTTAAATGAGCTATCTGTTGAAGTAATCTCAAATGCACTGAAGGTGGCTCAATGATTGCTTGAAAGAAGTGACATTTTAAAAACTGAAGGCATGTTGTCCCTTTGGTTGTTTCTTTGCTCAAAGGCAACTGTATAGTAAGAAACATTTTTCTTATATTTATAGGTTGTTGCTAAGTTCTCACATATCTATACAGCTTTCTTTAAAATGAAGGGAATCATGCTGTTTTTCTAAATATTTTTAATAAACACAAGCTTTAATATTACAAGCTCTAAAATTAGTTTAATATATTCAACAGGTATTTATGTTAAAAGTCATTAGAATTTTAAAATGTATTTTGTTTTATCTTCAATTTGTACTTCTTATTAGTACATGGTCGCGGTACATGATGATCAAATTCCTCCTGCAGAGTTGGTACACGTACATAACACATCTCAATGTTTTCATCCCTTCCCTTCCCTTTCTTTCCCCCTCCCTCCCTCTCTGGGTCCCTTTCCCATTTACAAATGATCCACCTCCTTACCTCCTATTACTTATCTTTTATTTTGCTCTTCATTTAGATTTTGGGATATTACTATTATTATTATTATGATTATTTTCACATTTAAGCATCTATGTATTTATTGCACTAAATCATCAAAGTTCACCAGAGTCTAAAACCACAGACAGCTTTTCTAGTTAAACATTTGGTGTTTCTAAGACGCATACAGATTTGTTCCACTGTGAAAAGAACGGGGAGCTTCTTATCAGTAAGTGTCTTCTTATAGGAGGGCTCAGCTAAGGACCCCAGCACATGACCTGACTTCCTTGGCGACAGGTCCAAACAGAACTTGGGGCCCTATCACCAGGCACCACCGTCTAGTGACAACTGCCCCCCCAGTCAGTTGGCTGAAAACAGTCAGCAGCAAACATGCTGTGCTGCTTTCCCAGGCCTCCTGGTTGCAGCCTCAGGTCCCCTCGCAGGGAAACCACTTGGCAATGAGTGAGAGGATGGTTCACTTGGCCCAGAAGCTTCAGGACCCTCGCCAGGAACCGTCCAACAGTCATGGGCAGCACAGGGCAGGTCTCACCAGACCCAGCCCCTAGATGCCCAGAGACAAGAGAGAGCCCAGGACAAGTGTCCCTAGGTTCAGCCACCAGACACTTGGAGCCACTGATATCTGGACAGGTACATTTAGAACCGATCACTGCTGTGAGTCCCCCTAAACAACCAACACCTCATCCTCAGTGTATTTGTGTCATGACTGGGGGTGGGACAGTGTCCTGAGAGAAGTCCTCCTGGATAGGACCAGGTGGTGGGAGGCTGTGAGCATGGGGTCCTGTCATATTCCTACCCTGGACAGGGCAGGCAGCAGGAGAAAGGCAGTGCCCGAGTGTTTGTCCCCAGCCTCATTGGCATCTCCTGTCCTCCTGAGGCAGAAGCCTGTGACATGTCTATTGGTTGTGTGGGGAGCACAAGGTTATCTGGAGCAACAATTGCATACATTATGGTCTATTCATTTCAGATGTCCATTTTTCGATTGGGTCTTTAAATTTGGGAAGTCTGATTCTTTTAAGTTCTTTATAGATTCGCGATAGCAGACCTTTGTTTGATGGACCACTGGTGAAAATTTGTTCCCACATTGTAGGTTGTCTCTTCACACTGTTGGTGGTTTCTCTTGCTGTGCAGAAGCTTTTTAGTAAGAAGAGAATCCACTTGTGGATTGTTTGTGGTAGTTCATGGGCAACTGAGGTTTTGTTCATAAAATCTTTTCCTACGCTGTCTTCACGAGTTCTACCTAACCTCTGTTCCAGCCGGTTCAGCATTTCTGTTTTAATATCTAGACCTTTAATCCATTTAGATTTT